CCAAAATGGAAAGGCAACCCAAGGTATGGAAGAGCATCATTGCCAATGATACATTAGATAAGGGGTTAATTCCAAAAATATATAGAGTACTCATACAACTCAACAAAAGGAAGACAAAGAACCCAATTAAAAAATGGGCAGAGAAGTTGAATAGACACCTCTCCAAACAGGACATACAAATGGCCCAGAGACATATAAAGAAATGCTCAACATCACTAATCATCAGAAAGATGCAAATTAAAACAACAATGAGGTATCACCTCACACCTGTCAGAATGGCCGCCATCAACAAATCATCAAACAACAAGTGTTGGCAAGGGTGTGGAGAAAAGTACACTGCTGGTGGGAATGCAGACTGGTGCAGCCACTATGGAAAACACTATGGTGTTACCTCAAAAATTTAAAAATTGAACTTCCATTTGACCCAGTGATCCCACTTATGGGAATATACCCTAAGAAGCCTGAAATTCCAATCAGAAAGAATACATGTACCCCCGTGTTCATAGCAGCACTATTTACAGTAGCTAAGATCTGGAAACAACCCAAGTGTCCATCAGTAGACGAATGGATAAGAAAGCAGTGGTACATATACACAATGGAGTACTATGCAGCTATAAGAAAGAAAGATCTCTTATCCTTTGAGACGACATGGAGGGACCTGGAAAGTGAGTGAAACAAGCCAAGCAGAAAAAGAGAAATACCACATGATCTCACTTATTTGTGGAATATAATGAACATAACCCGAGGAATAGGGTAGACCCAAAGACGTGGAAGTATGGTACAGACTGATAACCTTCAGAAGAGGGGGTTGTGGGAGGAGGGAAGAGATAAATCACAGAAATTATACGCAATTATGCATAACCAATGGGCATGGACAACAAAGCCGGTGATGGGGTCAGGGAGATGGGGATGTTGATGGGGAAAAAAGGAGAAACATCTGTAACAAAATTAAATGAATAAAAATAAAAAATAATAATAAATAAATATATTTCAGAAAAGAAAAAAAATTATTTAGAATTAAATACTCAGCTATAAAATTTTAAGATATTATTGTTAAAGAACAACAGGGTAAATCTTACTGTTCCCACCCTCTTCCTCTTTCTAGAATATTAATTTCAAATTCCATTTGGCTATGGACCATTTTTATGAGTGATGGTGGAAGAGAAAAAAAAATATATATAAAAAAATCACGCTCCCCAGCCAGACATTCCTTTGTCCTCCTCTGACCCCTTCTGAAGGGTGTCTTCAGAACACTGGGTCTTCTAGCTCTCATTCTACCTGCAGCTTACTCAGGCCAGGTCAGTTCGCTCACTGCCCTGCGTCTGTCCCTCACTACATCTTTCTCACTCTTTTTTTGTCCAGCTTGTTGACAGAATGCATGCCCTTGGGCATGCAAATAATATCATTTGGTGATAAGATTATAGAAACTTCCCTCTTCCTGAGTGCTTACATTTAAATCCTGTTTGCAGCCAAATTATCAGACAGCTATGTGTGAAGGATTATGGTGGCTGACATCAGTAAACCAGGTCGAAGTGGATGCCTTGTTTCCCATTTGCCATTTTTCCTTGTACTAAAACCTCTCAGTATCATCACGGGAGAAGAGCTACTGGTTGTGCATGTATTGTGTGTGTTCTGTGGTTTGGAAGGAGGGTATGTGTGGACATTACTGAGCCCCCTGTACCTCATCTCACAACCTGGTTCTACTCAGACAAAGGCATAAAGAAATGGAGCAAAGAATCCAGGCAGGATTGGAAATATGGGGAGGCCAATTGAGGAAATGTTAAATGATGCATCATCATTCTTTACCATTTGTAAATCTTAAACTAATTTTTATGAAAGAAAGAATGTTTGTAGAAATTGTTTAAAAAGTGTTTTATTGACAGTGAAAGCTGTCATATTAGATAATATGAATTAAGTGTGATAGACAGGGAGGAACCCAGCAATAACCTAGCAAGTCCTCACTGAGTCTCATCATTAAGTTTGGCCCAGCAAGTACTTATTTACCAAACATTTGCTTTTCCATCTCCCTGTGAATTGCCCTCCCATCCTTTGAAATGTCAAACCCTAACCTCCCACCCCCCCTTCTCCTTAGCTCAGGAGGGCGTACAAACCCTAACTGCCTAATCTGCCCTGGGGTCTCATAGTCTTTTGAAACCCCCATATGTACATATGTGATGAATTTGGTAATTTTCTCCTGTTAATCTGCCTCATGTTAATTTGATTATTAGTCCAGCCAGAAGAACTTTGAAGGATAGAAGGAAATTTATGTTTCCTCCCCTACATTATCAATTCTATTTATATAAATGGAAGTGTGTACCTGAGTGTGTGTGTGTTTTCTGTTGGTGGTAACAGGGAAAATGGGCCAATTTTTAACTCTAAGAAATGTTTGATAATGATTTAAATTCTCATTGAAAAAAGAAACCAATCTATAATGATGACAGAGCAGCTAACATAAAGGTTTCCACCAATTTTTATTTAAAAATCAGTGCGTGAAGCACCAGATAAATTGCTGGCACAAGCTCAGGTCCTTCCATTTGTGTTAGGGTCAATCTCTGGTGTTGAATGCAACAGTGTCACTACCACACTAATAATAAGAAAGAATGAATTACAAATCCCAATATTTCTCTAAACTAACTGAGGACAGAAGGCAATCAGCCAAATCCTACTCCAAAGAGAAAAAAACTCTTCTTCTAGGAAAGATAGAACACACCAACTATCTCACCTTTGAGAAAACACAGGAAATAGAGATAATGGGGCTATAAGTGTGTGAGAAGCTAACATTTTATTTAATGGCCTTTTTCTGCCTAGAGATATCACCCGAGGTGGCCCCACACCAGAACGTGGCCACCTTTTGGATGTCCAATTTGATATACAAACATTCAAACTGTTACAAACTATATTTTATACTACTCAGCAGTGTAATATAGTGGAAAGATTAAAAAATGCACTAACTTTCTGATAGACATTGTCCTAGTATAATCTTTCTCATTTTCTCTTCTTTTGAAGATCTGCCCTAAACCCAGCAGTAATCATTTCTGAATCTGTCAGCTTGAAGAGAGAAAGGAGAAATGATAAATGCAGCAATGAGAGGTGGCTATTTTTTTACCCTCATCCATGGATATGTTTTTGTATTGATTTTAGAGAGAGATGAAAGGAGAGAGAAACATCGATAAGTTGCCTCCTGTACACACCCCAACCTGGGATCAAGCCACAACATTTTGGTGTATGGGACGATGTTCTAACCAACTGAGTCACCCAGGCAGAAGAGGTGGCTACTTTGTTTTCTTCTTTGCCTCAAAAAACACGTGCTCTGCACAGAAAATTGAATAAATCATTATGGTGGGTTATAATTAATTTCTATTTTAATTGTTAGAAGTTAACCCTCTGAAATAGGAAAGTCTACATCTATACACTGAAGGCTGTGACCAAACATTCTGATATTTTACATTTACAAATCTATGCCTCTTTGAGTCACTTAAGTCATCAAGTCTTAAATATGTTTTTTTTTATATAGATTTTTTTTTTTAAGGGAAAGAGAAACATCAATGTGAGAGAGAACCATTGGTCTCATCGGCTGTCTCCTGCAGGCCCCGACTGGGAATCAAGCCCACAACCCAGGCATGTGCCCCGACCAGGAATTGAACAGGGACCACTCAGTGCATGGGATGATGCTCAATCCACTGAGCCATACCAGCGGGGGAGGCCAGTGAGGCTCTATATCAATAATGGTGTAGCACTTGAAAGGTTAAAGTTGTTACGTTTTTACTTTGTCATACTAAACTGCACAAGACATCACTTCATCAATGGTAAAATCACTGCTCTTGTCTATGAGAGCAAAACTAATAACTTTTAAAATGTTAAATCAGGCAGTTATCACAAAGTGATTATCAAAAACTGCTGAGAACCAAGTGTGATCAATTTTACACACACACTTTCAATGTGGGCTTGACAGCCTAGGTAGGCATCCTGTTTCATTACTTCCTAGAGACTCCTAGGTAGGTTACTTTTTCTCCTCAAGACTTTGTTCTCTCATCTGCAGTACCTGGATAGTAATATTATAATCATAGGAGTCTTGTGAACATTGGAAAGCTAATCTGGTAAGTATTCAATCTGACAGGTAGAATAGGATAACGAGACCATGTAAGGTGAGGCCTACATGACTTCCCCTGTCATCCTTACCTGTCATCCTTACCATACAGATGTGGAAACTGTGCCTCAGAATAGTTACATTATTTGTTTAAGAAACCACAGCTGGTAAATAATGAACTCAGGCTTAAAATATGTTTGGGGTCTTCTCAGTTTAGTTTTTTTTCCTTCATATCAAACTTCTTCACTTAGATCCATAACTTGGTCTGCATGTATTATCTTAATCAGAATGGTTCTGGTTAAATCTTTCTCAGGCCAAGAGTAAGAACCCATGAAAATGGAAATGCCAAATTAATGTAATTTTATTTATATTTTTACTTTATTTATTGATTTTAGAGAGAGAGGAAGGGAGAGGGCAGAGAGAGAGAAACATCGATAGAGAGAACATCGATTGGCTGCCTCCTGCATGCCCCCCACTGGGGATTGAGTCCACAACCTGGGCATGTGCCCTGACCGGGAATCGAACCAGCAACCTCTTGGTGCATGCATTAACACTCAACCACTGAGCACACCAGCCAGGCTACAAATTAATGTAATGTTAAAAAATGTTCTCTAAACTCATGAATTACAAGAAAACAAAAAAAATCTCCCAAGATGTATCTCAACTTTGAATATATGTCATCCTCTCACTAGAAAAATTAATTAATAATTAATTAAGCTTAATTAATGATGGCTACTCAAAATAATTATTTTTATTTTTTATAATATCTCATGCAATTATTAACCTAAATTGCATTTGTAGAACTAAATATACATGAAAAGTGATCACAATAAAAAATATTGATATGCCAATTAAAGCAACATTTTTTTTTCACAGACGTAAAAGAAGAAATTCAGAATGTCAAAGCACTCACTGCAGCTTGCCGATGAGTATTGGACAGTATTCCATGAATCTTCACTTTGTCCTTCTCCATCTGGTCTATGTTCACCCACAAATCCCGGCTGGCAGAATCAGATGGGCCATATATCCGAGATATATAGTAATTGTGATCTGTGTCCTCCTGCAATAATAGAAAATAATGCACATCAAGAACAGAGCATGGATGAACCTTATAGCTAAGTGAAATAAGTCAGAGACAGACAATTACTGTGTGTGCTTATATGTGCAATCTAAAAAAGCTGAACTCATAGAAGCAGGGCAGAATGCTGGTTACCAGGACTGGGGTTTGGGGGAAATGTGGAGATGTTGGTCAAAGGGTACAAACTTCCAGTTATAAAATGAACAAGTTCTGGAGGTCTCCTGTACAGCATGGTGACTATAGTTAATAGTATATTATATACTTGAAAGTTGCTAAAAGAGTAGATTTTAAATGTTCTCCACACAACAAAGAACTGGTAATTACGTGATACAATGTCAGTGTTAGCTAATGTTATGGTGATAATCATTTTGCAATATATTAATATACCAAATCAACATGTTGTATATGTTAAACTTATTAAATGTTACATGTCAATTATATCTCAATAAAGCTGGAGAAAAAAGAAGCATTTAAATCACTATATATCCAACTTATGTAATTTACAGAGTTATAGACAGAGTTTCATTAAAAAAGAAAAAAATTCACTCCTGAAGAGAAAATAACAGAGACATTGTCCTTAAAATTCTTAAAATATAAACCACCAAAAAATGGTGCTATGAAATTGCAAATGTTGGCATTCTTCAAAATAGCCAAAGAATTTAAATAATCTCTTAGGGATGTGAATTACAGTTTTAAGAATATAAAATTAACAAGCCTCTTTAGAAGAAATTGCTAAATAAACAATCTTTGTGTACAGTAACCTTTCTACTACAGTAAGGGATCTTTCTAATTGCTGACTAAAGATAATGACATGTTGGGAACTATTTACTGGAAACCTGAACTAGAAATACTACTAAGTGACAGCAAGTTCATACTACTCTTCAAACTTAGGTTTATCTTAGGGCCTGTTTTCCGTTATTAATAGTCCTAAAAATGGAGATAATATATTTCCTTCTCTATAATTTGGGTTATTGTGTTCTACTTTTATTTGATTCCCATTATTGATATAACCATGGTGCCTGTCACAGAACCTTTATGTTTCATGTTTCTCACTCAGTGATGAGATTTAAATGTTTTAAAAGGCAGATTTTGCAGAGGAACACCTAGAAAATCCCATGATTTTGACTAATTCAAAATTTGAAAATAATTTTTTTGAATATGTATTTATTGCTTTTTTGAAGAGAGAAAGATAGAAACATCGATGTGAGAGAGCAACATCAATCGGCTGCCTCCTGCACATCCTCCACCAGGGACCACACCCACAACCCAGGCATGTGCCCTGACCGGGAATCGAACTGGGACTTCTCAGTCCATGGGACGATGCTCAATCCACTGAGCCGCAATGGCCATGCATAAATAATTTTTACCATGAAATATAATTGGGCATACCAAGTTGAGGAGTCTACTAGATAGAATATATTTATTTTATTTTAATATTATTTTTGAATATATTTTTTTATTGATTTTTAGAGAGAGAGGAAGGGAAAGGGAGAGAGAGATAAAAACATAGATGAGAAAGAAACATCGAATGGCTGCCTCCTGCATGCCCCCTACTGGGGATCGAGCCTGCAACTAGGCCATGTGCTCTGACCATGAACCAGTGAACCGGTGACCTCTTGGTGCATGGGCCAATGCTCAACCACTGAGCGACACCGGCTAGGCTAGATAGAATATATTTAAAAACATTCAGATATAGGTAAGAATAATGGTTATTGAATAGAGGGACTATGATTTGAATAATAATGTTTGAGATGTGAATTTTGTCTAATGCATATATTAGTTGTGCTAATATTGTAAATAAACTACAATTATTCTTGAAATCCTTTCCAAACAAGAATCTCAGGTGCCTTTTCACAGGCCATCAGGTTAGATGTATATAGAAAACTGATTACCTAAAGGAAAGAAATATTCAAAAACATTTTGTTGCTGACTAAAATAAAAAAATATGATCCTAAATGTCAATATTGAGAACATGTTAACAGTAAGATTTAAAAAAAAAATCCTACAGAAACTCTGGGTATCACATAGAGATTGTGTGTACACCCATGATGAAAGGTAAGAAAATTATGCAGAGAAAGGAGAAAAGAGGAGACACAAGGAAGGAAGCAGGAATAAGATCCCATGCAGTTCAAGAGAGAGGTGATATCTTAGTGTGTCCGGCACCGGGTCCAGAAGACTAAGACATGGATGGTGTGGGTCCTGGGAGGTAACAAGCATGGTGATTGTGTCACCACTGGTGTTAACTCCTCCCTGTTGTCTGGTGCTTCACCACTGGAACGGTCCTAGGTGGGTGCCCTCCTTACCACTGGGCACAAGCCATTCTGCATACATCACTCTGATGGCCACAAGGGCTGGTGGGTAGCATGGGCACACCAACCATGTCAAGAAAGACCCATTAGTGAGACATCCAAACGTTCAAAGATGATGATTTCCCTTGTTCTGATTGCTGAGATGTGTGGATGTGAGTCTTGGAACTACTTCCAACTTTTTGCTGCCATGAGGAAGCCCTGCCTAAAGACGCCGCAAACATAGACGAGAATCTAACAATCACTGCAAAGAGAAAGCCAGACCCCTGAGCAGGTACATATAAGTGTGACCTACCCCCGGGGTGTGTTCATGTAGATGAGCCATTAAATCTCTTTTATAGTTAGAACAGCTTCAGCTGGGTAACTGTGGACTAAACGAATCTTAACTGACACACAAGTTTCCCTAACTTGCACCAAAAGAGACTCAATGTAAGCAACACTGAATACGGCAAACTACTCTAGAGATCTAGAGATCTAGATAACATTTACTTCTGGTATTCAAGCAAATCATATAGCAGAAAGGAAAACTTAAATCTAACTTGCCAGACATTATCAAGTCTGAATAACAAATGATAATGACTCATTTAATTTTTCAATGAAAAGAATGGTTTTGAAGAAAATTGTCAATGAGTTTAAATACGAATTAAAAATTTTCCCTATTGCTAGAACTATTATAAAGAGTTCAGCAACACTATGGTCAGAGATGTAATATTTAGGTGAATTTTGTAACAGATCCTATAATACTGCCAAATTCCCATATGTTTACCAATATGTTTACCAAATAGCTATTCTTTTTAAAATTGCAGACTTTCACTATAGACTTCAGTATAATTATTGCAATCAACCTATTTAAAATGACTTTGGTATTTCCCTTAACTTCTAAATCTCTTTAATTAATCAAGACATAGTCTTTTAGTGAACATAAAGAATAAGAATACCTTTATGCTTAAATAATGAATTATCTGAAAAAAATATATATGTTTCCTACTTCTAATCACTGATATAGACAGGTGAAAATACACCTTTGTTTTTACTTAAATCTGTGCTGCTCCAAAAAATATCATATATATCACATCTTTGAAATCACTGAAGAGCTAAAGACTAGAGCTTGGTGTTTGACCGCCATAGACCAAGCTTGCCAATTGCCATGGCAACTTTTATTCAAAGAGGAAGACAATTTATTTTTTACCTAGGAATTCAGAGGCAAAAGTTATTAAATTCCAGGGAGAAGCGTCGGGCTCAGTTATTCAGGAAAGCCACATACTAGCTGTCTTAAAATGTGACATTTTAGCACTATTAAATTATACAGAGCACATCTTGTCCTTCATAGGAGTAATGGTACTTCAAGAGTTGTCAAAAGCCACTTCAGGCACAAGATTTCCCGTTTCTTCCAGAAAGCAAACGATTTCTATCACCACAGAAAATAAAACAAAACACTACTGTGATCTGCCTAGTTGCCAATTCATTTAGGAAGCCAACTGTTACTGAAAGTAGACAGCACAGGAGGTAGCCCTAAGCCCTGTAAATCCATGCTTCTCCAGCATGCCGGGAAATGAGCAGCTGTAAACAGAGGACATACACCAAACATACAGAGGAAGCGTCAGCATAACTGTAGCCTGACTGTTCTGCAACATGCAGTTTCCACAGTCCCTCACCCAAGCATTGTCTTCTTTTCGATCATGGGGGTTAAGTTGATTTTATGATGGATACTTTTTATGAATGCCTTGCATAGCCTTATACGGTAATAGCATTTGAACTCCAAATTCACCTCATTAAGCACTAAAAAACATCAGGAATATATTGTATTAACATCACTGTGCAAGTCATTTGAAATATATGAATACATAAAACATAATCAAGTTCTTAGGTAAAGTTATATAGTACTGAATCAATCACAAAGATAGTTTCATAATAAATAAAAGAATATTATAATTTCAACTGTTCCTGCCAGGAATTAATATATAGCAAATTTATAAATCATTTCTTATAGAAATAATATCACGAGAACTATATAGTACATTTAAAGGGAAAGCTACTTTAAAATATTACATGTGTATATTAAACCCCTCAGAAACAAAGTTAAAAGAGTCTCTGTGATATTAAAAAATCTTAATACAAGAAACCAAAGGACATGATAAAATAAAATTAAAAAGAGAGAAACTGGCAGTAATCAGGAAAAAAATTACAGAGATGAACTCAGTAGTAACAAGAGGAGAATAAACATGTCAGAATAACTAGTCAGGACACAGAACAGTCTTGAGAAACATACACAAGATGGAATGAAAAAGAATAATAATAATAATGAAATAAATGTCTAAGATAGACAATTATATAAATTAGAGAAAAATATATATGTATATCCTTTTTTCTTAAAGATATATATTTAAACATTTTAAGAAATGTTAGAACAATTCTTTTCTGAGATAAAGAACGATTTTAACCTGTACGCATGTCCCAACAAAATTTACAATAGGACTCCAAGTATTAAATAATTTGATAATTTCCTAGTGAGATTTCTCATCATTTTTTTCTTTTTAGAAAGAAGTCTTATAAGCATCTAGAAAGACAAATCAAGTTAATTTTTCTTTCAAAGTACAATTTCCATTTATTTTTGTCCAGAGGACTTTTCTTCAGTCATTAAGAACTTAGCGTCTTACATGGGCTTTGGTGGAGGGA